TATTTTATTATATTTTTTATTTTATTCTTTTATTGATTTTATTTAATTTTTTATTGATTTTATTTTTTTATTTATTTATTTATTATTTTTTCATTTCATTTCATTCCTTTTCCAGACACTGAAGACTAGGGTAATTCAGATTTGCCATCACAGGAATAAATTACACTTTAAAATATATACAAACAGTTAAAATAAAAATAATAATATTTCACAATTTTACTGTTTTTGATTTTAAAAAATACAGTAATTGTATTTACATATATTTACATTATATAGTAAATACAGTAATAAATTCAATAAAGCTACAATTCATTAAAATGTATTCTGCATTATTTATTGTAATTATAAAATATTATATTCATTATTAAATAAACTGTCCTGTCCTTGTGACATTGCTAGATAACATAGAATGTACATATATAAAATAATTTATTTTAAAAAGTAATTAAAAAAATTATCTTTGAATATTACATGTATAATGTTGTGTAATTTTTATAATATTAAATAGATTTTAGTTTGTGTGTGGGTGTGGGTGTATTTTTTTTAATGAAAACCCATGCATTTATGGCAAAATAAATAGCATTTTATTTTGTTCATTGCATTAGCTACAGAAAGCAATGAAAATGACATGCGTTACAATATTTGCATTAACGGGCTAGACTGAAGCAGTAGCAGGCGTCGCTGCACTTGCACAGCACAGCTTCCATATAACTGCCTTTACTTCACCACAGCAATGAGAGTCATGTTTCCTATTATATGCCCCCTTCAAGAAATATTGATAAACAGAGTTGAGCAAGTCTCGTTGAACCTCTCCGTAACGCTATATAAGCCTCTGCTTTATACTGTGCACATACTGTGTCCATTCGCTGCATTCCTGGTGACTGCGCTCGCCGTGGTACTGGAGGGTTTGGGGAGAAAGGGAGGGAAACGGGTTAACCGCGGGCGTTTTGATCACTTCTTCTGGACTCAGATTAGAGAGCGCCGCTTCAGGGAGGGGTGCATTTTTCCAGAAGTTGGAGGGCCAAGACTGAAAGAGAGAGAGGAGCAGAACCGAAGCAAGGGAGAGAGAGAGAGACAGAGATGAAGGGTGCAAGTTTGGAGAGGAGATGACATTTTTGCTGTAAGACAGGCAGAGAGGAGGTTGGGGCTGGTTTTGATTAAGAACCTCGCTGGATTTAAGGCCCAGTAGTTCGGCTCTGACGCATGGAAGCGAAAGTTCAATAACTGTAATGAAACCCAGATAATGAATGGACTCGCAGGCATCTGTCATAAAGCTCCAGCGCTGCAAAGCTACACGTGACAATCTCATCGCTCAACATACATGCACCGGCTGGCTTTTTAAGATTCTTGATGTTTTCCAGGACTGTACCGCAGCGCTGAAGAATCCCGTGCGGCCACTTCCTGTTTAATTATGGCCGCCTTTGTCTTAATTGCCTTGTCGGATTTCTCTGACATCATTTGCTTTTGTTTCTGACTCACTCAAATTTCCGCTTGTCGGGTCAGAATAATGCTTCATTTACCACAGGTCGGGATGTGTTTTACTGTCTACATATTCTTTAGTGTTCTTATCCTTTTGTAGTGTTCGGTGCACGAAACTGAAAAAGACATTTTCTCCTAGTTGGCAATGAGATAAATTGAGTAAATTGACACGCTTTCTGTCATGATTTTTCTCCTGCCTATAGACACCAGTGTCTCCCTTAGAGATTAAAACATAAACATGCTCATTTTATAAGTTGTGATTTTTTTTATATGTACCATTTTATATAAAATACAATATAATCTTTATTTAATATTTTAGGATAAATACAATAAAGGTGAAAATTATTCAAATTAATTCTGCATTTTTTGTAATGTCCATGTGATATTGCTTAAATATATATCTTCAGTATCTGTCTTAATCATTATAATAAATGCTTTAATAAACTGGTATTCAAGGTAATTAATTCATTTTGATTAATTATAAGTTATTTATTGTATTTATTATAAAATAAAATTTCCTGTCAATGTAAGATTGCTTAAATATAGTCTTTTACATAGATTTTACATATACAAAACAAATTATTTTAAAAAGTAATTTTAAAATTATTTTTTGGGAAAAAAAACCGACATACAATTACATGTATTATGTGTAATTTTATGTAAATATATAATATTTTTAATATATAAAAAGATTTTACTTTATTAGTTACTCTTTGTATTTTTATATATGGTACAAGATTATCT